CTTCCCAACATGCAGAGAGAAAGAAAATAGAGAAATAATAGAAAAGTAATAACACTTAATAATAAAAGCAATAATAAATACACAGCGAGTAACGATAACTTGGCTATGTACATGGGGTACCAGTACTGAGTCGATGTGCAGGGGTACGAGGTCATTTATGTAGATACACTACATGACCAAAGGTATGTGGCACCTGCTCGTCGAACATCTCATTCCAAAATCATGGGCATTAATATGGAGTTGGTCCACCCTTTGCTGCTATAACAGCCTCCACTTTTCTGGGAAGGCTTCTCACTAGATGTTGGAACATTGCTGCAGGGACTTGCTTCCATTCAGCCACGAGCATTAGTGAGGTCGGCACTGATGTTGGGCGATTCATCCCAAAGGTGTTCGATGGGTTGAGTTCAGGGTTCTGTGCAGGCCAGTCAAGTTCTTCCTCACTGATCTCTACAAACCATTTCTGTATGGACCTCGCTTTGTGCATGGGGGCATTGTCATGCTGAAACAGAAAAGGGCCTTCCCAAACTGTTGCCACAAAGTTGGAAGCACAGAATCGTCTAGAATGTCATGTGTGCTGAAGCATTAAGATTTCCCTTCACTGGAACTAAGGGGCCTGAACCATGAAAAACAGCCCCAGACCATTATTCCTCCTCCACCAAACTTTACAGTTGGCACTATGGATTTGGGCAGGTAGCGTTCTCCTGGCATCCTCCAAACCCAGATTTGTCCGTCGGACTGCCAGATGGTGATGCGTGATTCATCACTCCAGAGAACACGTTTCCACTGCTTGTGTATATATAGTATATGTACATATAACTAGGAACAAAGTGACAGATGATAAACAGTAGCAGCAGTGTATGTGATGAGTGCAAAAGTGGTTAATGCAGATAGTCCGTGTAGCTACAATATTTATTGAACAATTTCACTAACTATTTAGCAGTTTTATGGCTTGGGGGTAGAAGCTGTTCAGGGTGCTGTTGGTTCCAGACTTGGTGCATCAGTACCGCTTGCCGTGTGGTAGCAGAGAGAACAGTTTATGTCTTGGGTGGCTGGAGTCTTTGACAATTTTTAGGGCCTTCCTCTGACACCGCCTGGTATAGAGGTCCTGGATGCCGGGAGCTCGGCCCCAGTGATGTACTGGGCCCTACGCACTACCCTTTGTAGTGCCTTGCGGTCAGATGCCAAGCAGTTGCCATACCAAGCGGTGATGCAGCCAGTCAAGATGCGCTCAATGGTGCAGCTGTATAATTTTGGGGGGATTTGAGGGCCCATGTCAAATCTTTTCAGCCTCCTGAGGGGAAAGAGGCGTTGTCATGCCCTCTTCACAACTGTGTTGGTGTGTGTGGATCATAATAGATCCTTAGTGATGTGGACAAGGACTGTAAAATAAAGCATAACCCAAATACTAATTCCAAACAAGCAGGATGTATGCACTTGTCCTGTTTGAACCAGCTCAGCATGATGGTTAAGTTTATATTTTGTGAATTGACCCTCCTTTAGGACAACAGAAACAAAATGAAAAAGGCCTTGGAACAGCATTTGACTGGATAAGAGTCATATTGTTAGTGTTACTGATGATGAGAGAAGAGCTCAACTCAATGATCCAGTGTGCTATGGTGTAGAGGCTTATTCCAGCTAGATTAATTTATAGATTGATGTCCAGAGATATTGTTGGGATTGGGAGGTAGGCTATTTGGGCAATGTGCAGACTTTCCTCTGAATGTTATAGAGAAGAGCACCTTATCCTGCATCAAGGGCTGAACACGCTTGACCCTACATCATTACAATCTACACTACAGCAATCCCCGTTGGGCCCTCAGGCACTGGTGTGTGTATATGTGTGTCCATGCATTTATGTGTTTGGGGGTAGGATAAAGACCACTTGGTAGTGTTTGCTGGTTTAAAATCCCAGGGGGGAAATTGCTACCTCGAATAACAAGGACATTCAGCTTTACGTATCGAGAATCATATCAGTGTTGCAGCAAGGATGCCCTTGGAATAGGGCGCTTACGATGTAATAAAACACAGCAAGGTTGAAGTTCGGTGTTACGTTCAAGTTCGCAATGCTAATCTGTGTTGTTATCCCATGTGTCCGCTTTTGAGGTAGTGTTCATCCATAACAGAGAAATTCACCGTTACAGCAGGTGATGCCTTGTGTACATTTTTTTGTATTTATACCGGGAGGGAGGATCTATTTAACGAGGCCAAATCAATTAGCAGTTGAACAATGACACAGCCAGGCTCTCGGCATACAGTTTAGTAGGCAAATCAAGGGTGCAGAGAAAGTGGTGTTGGGGAGGATGGCAGTGATCCTAACCTAGAACCCTACTAGAGGCTAGACTGTGTGTGTGTGTTGTGTGTGAGAGAGAGAGAGAGAGAGACGTAGGGAGGGGAGGGGGTGGGGTCTTATGCATTTTGACAAACCACGCTGTTTAAGATATAATAGCTGCATAATCACCACCCCGGGCCGTCATTCTTCAGGATAATGGGCTGCTTATTCATCGGGGATGGCTTATGTCCCCACACACTTTTTATTTCTCCAGATTACCATGTTCTCTCTCTCTCTCTCTCTCTCTCTCTCTCTCTCTCTCTCTCTCTCTCTCTCTCTCTCTCTCTCTCTCTCTCTCTGTAATTCTGCCATGCTCCTGTGTATATACATTCTCTGTCTTTCTCTCTTGTTATCCCTGTCACCTTTCTTTCTCCCCTCCTTGTTTAACACATTCTCTCTCATCCTGTAAATGTTTATTTCCGTTCCTCCACACTGCACTCTGACTTCCCCTATTGCAATATGAATATGAACCTGTCTTTGACTGTTTTTATGCCCCCCCTTAACTTTATTGTTCAATCTAATGTAACATTCTTGCTGTATTACAAACTCAATGTTGCAGTGGCAACTATATGTTGTGTATGTATATATGTTACATATATGTATATGTTGTGTTTATTCTAGAAGTAGCTGTGAATAGCTTTGTCATATGAGAACAAAAACATTGAAGGAAGCCTTGTGTATAAAGATCTCCAAGCATTGCTTTATTTAGGGTTTATTTTGCAACATCACTGTTCAAACCTACATTGTTAACAGATAAAAAAGAATAATGCCTATGGATTACTCTCCATCGTTTTAAATCTACCACTGGACCAATTAGTATGACAGAGACAGCTGGAGAGAAACAGTAGAACTTTTAATATCACAGCCACAATGGAACTCGACTGGAGGAGACACATAGACAACCAGACGGTACACCTTCGGTAGTCCAGGGAAGAGAAGGTAAGGAAATGGCGTGAGCCCATTGAATACAATGTTACAACTGACAACTACAGGAATCCCCAACTCGGACTTTATGATATATTTACAACATGAGAACCTTTATATTTCCCGTACCAGTAAACATTAATAGATAGACTTCTTCTTCTTCTTAATTTACATATTGAAATAATTTACATTGTCAGAGTGGATGGACTTGATGGGATCCCAGCACAGAGAGAATCAGAGACACATAATTGACAAGAATTGAAAGACTGGCCACTCCTCCAAGTGCTTAAAGAGTAACTTCCTGTTACAACAGGAAGTTCTGTATACTACTCCCCCCACCAGCCCTAAAGGACCCTCTATTCAGTTTGTGTAGGGATGCTGTTACCAAGTTACATCAGAAGGGGTAGATGGTGAAAAGAGGTGTAAACATGAAATATGCAGGTTCATTTCTCCAGTTGTGTTTCTACTTGTTGTATTGTCTTATTTTGGTTGTGCAGCAGGACACATTGAGTTGTGACACATCATTTGCTTACCTTTGTGGCAGTTTTTTTCTTCAGAGCTTTGGATATAAGGGAATAATAAATGGTATACATGTTCGTAATTGCATATGCTTCCTTCCCATCTGCCCAGAGCAAAATGTAATTAAAAGCTTTGCACATTTAGTCACTGAAATAATTTTCTCATTACCAAGCCAGTCTCCATACAAAGTGGTTTAATACTGGCCATTAAACTGGTAAATTAGTCACTTCTAATTAAGCAATAGAGGAGAACATGGCTTGAGTTTATATTTATGTATGTGCTTGCCTTTTTAGAATGTGCTATACAAGGCCTAATTGAATTGTTAATGGTCCCACAGTACAAGTTGTCTCTCAATGGTACCAATGCTGGCACAGATTAATTTTTCCCCCTGAAGACCCAAATTCCCTTAAAAGTGCCTCAATTCTGTAAACATTACATTGCAGAGTATTTTTCACCAAGTGCAACACTAGACAGGTAAATAGTTATTATTATAAAGGAACTGTATTTGCTCAGCTGTAGAGACCCTATGTATAGCCTGGTCTTTCACAATGTCAGGTTTAGAGTCCATTTCCCTTTAATGGTGCATTTCCATACAGGATTTGCCCCAGTGTTTTACCCAAAAGGCTCAGACTTTTCTGTTTCCATCTACACGGACCGGCACCCGTGTCTCACTGGGCCATGGCTCCGGCGGACCTGCTCTCACTTGGGGCCAAAGCCAGGCCACTGGTACTTTTCAGCTCACATTTACATAACAATGGCTAACTGTGAACTTTAACACCTCACAAAGCAACTGTTTTGATTATGCAGAGGTTGTTGATTCTGCTCTTAACAAGTCCTCACTGTCAGCCCTAGCTATGGAAACACAATTTCCCTAGTATAACATAAGGGTGTATACACTAGTGTAACGCTGGTGTTAGTCGAAAAGCAGCATAAGAGTAAGGAATACCTAGACTCATCAGGTGTTGTTGGTCAAATAAGTATTCTTTTTTTATGCGTGCTTTGTTGTGTTTCACTCTGCTGTGTGGAAAGCCAGAAATTAGGCAACTGATAAAGCAAGAAGCTGGAGAGAACTCGGTCCAGGGTGAGATGATTTTGGTTTTCTAAACTCTGGCTACCAATGTCCCTAAACCCTCTGCTGGAGGGTATGATTCCTACAGGACTACAGAGGTTACAGACATGGGATGGGTGGGATTGATGCCCCTGCTAGGCCGCACTCAGATCCTGTGGCTCAGTTAGGCAGCGTGTCCAGTCCCAGGGAGGCTGCGTGCTGCTTGGCCCGCATCCGGAGGTTCTCGATGCTGGTGGTCTTGCTGTTGTGGTTGGGGAGGCCTCCGGAGGCCTGGAGCAGGGGACTGTTCCACACCTGCTGGGCCGCGTGGTGGGACAGGGACTGGTAGTATGACTGGCAGGGCAGGGAGCCCAGCGGTCCCGGGGACATGTTGACGTTCATGCCCAGGTAGGGCAGGGAGGACGGGGTGCTCATGTCGAAGGAAGGGTAGTGCACCATGTTGTTGGTGGCAGCCATGTGCTGGCGGAACTGCTCCTGCAGGCGGAAGAGGCTGAGCGGGGAGGAGGAGTAGGAGTGGCTCTGGGAGATCCCACCACTGACACCAATGGACGAGGGCGTCACAGACGGGGAGACCATGGGGGATTCTGAGTAAAGGAAAAAACAGATAAGAGTCAAGAACATTAAAGATGTCCTCCAGTGATTTTGTTTTACTTTTCCTGTTGAAAAGCGATATCCCAATTATAAACACAGTAAAGCAGGGGTCTTCAACTTTTTCTTGCCCAGGGACCCCCACCAGGCAAACCAGCGACCCAGAGACCCCCATCATGATAGCAAAACATGTTTTTTTCCACATATCTTGTCTTATTATCCAGTGAATGATAATGGCAAGGACAAATATTCAACATTTTAAAATGAATAGATTTGGTAGATAGTTTTTCATTATTTTGACCTCCCCACATTATAATTGGAAGAAGTGTCAACTCTACCATAGCCTGTTAGCTAGAAAAGTAACTCCAAATTAGGCCTGTGACGATTATGGAATTTGGGTTAACGATTAATTGTCATGCAAATAGTCACAGTTATTATCATAATTGTCATTTTTGTTGAAAAAAATTTGAGCTTATAATGCATCTTTGAAAGACATATCTAATGAATACAACACAGCTTTGGTGACACCCCCGTTTCAAGAACGAATCGTTTTGATCGCTTAGATCTTTTGGAAATAAAGTTTATCCCCCTAACTGTGCCGTTCTGCTCATAAAATGATTACTAACTTTACCCACTTCATGTAAAAATGTAAAACTGCTATTGGGTAAACTATATCTACTTGAATATAAAGTTGAATCCTCCCTTCTAAAATGTAAGCATTATGACGGAAAAGCTAATAGCAGCTATCCCCATTTAGCTTTTGCAGAAGCAGCAGCTACTCTTCCTGGGGTCCACAAAAACACAAAACATGACAAGTAACAAAACACTGATACACTGATAGACAAGAACAGTCACACAAATGTAAAATAACAATATACAAACAATACAACAACAAAATTATACAAACAATACAACTACAAAATAATGTGTATAAGCTCCCTAACAAGCACAATGTGTTGGCAAAAATGTATGTCCAAGTCAAGAAAGCTTTCCAGCAGCCAGCGTCACTTGCCACGACTGGTTCTCACAGGTGCTTTTTCAAAGCCTATGTCAGATACTCCAGTGAGTGTACTTTGCTCAATATTTGAGAAACAAAGTTGACATCATTAGAAATAAGATATTCCCCTCTTTTCTACTGTAGGTATAATTCAACATTTGCTGTGTCTGTTGTTGCTATTGATATTCATAAAAACATTGAAATAAAAATGAAAGTGCCACTTTTTGTACATATATTTTTGCAGACCCCCTGCAGTACCTCAGTGGACCCATGGGGGGCCGCGGACCCCCGGTTGAATACCCCTGCAGTAAAGTACACTTCACAAAAGTGTAAAACATTTTTTTTAGACACAACTGCAAACTTCAAAGAGTACAGCATTCAAGGAGTTGGTCTGATGGGGACTTTGTGATGTCATCAGCCTCCCACCTTGCTTGAGGAACAATAGAGAACAAAAGAGGGAAGGTCCCCCTCTTATGTCAAAGGCACATCTTATTGAGATGTGCCTTTTGTTAAGTAATCAGGTGAAAAGGAGACTGGAGGAGGACTTTAAACTAAGTTTCTCTGGTAGGCAGGAAGGCAGACCTATGTATAATTTACTAAGAACCGGCAAAGCTGTTGTGCCACCTCTTCATTTGCCACTGACTGAAATGAACTGATGTTGGACGACAATGTAAGCATTTCATATGTTTACTCTTAATTGACTATCCTGAAGGATGCCTCTAAATTTGATTGACTTTGTCTGTTTTCTAATGCCCCCAATGAAGCTATGTATATTAGAGATGTACAAGTGTCAGTCACAATTTAAGACCTTGTCCTTACCGGGTTTGGGACTAAGCCGCCTGCAGGGTGGCGAGACGTTGCCTGGCGTCATCGCCCTCTCACTCTTGAGCTCCTCCCTCTGTGGCTTAGACTCCTCCTCCTTATCGGTAGCGTTGTCCTCGGTGGCCGACTCGCAGCCCGACTGTTCTGCCGAGGTCACGTTTAACTCCATGCTAATTTCCGACACCAATGGACGGGGCGGACCCTCAACCTCCAAGGAGGAAGAGGAGGAGGATGGGGGGAGCTGGTTCTCTGGAGTGATGGTGGTGGGAGCCTCCTCCTTGTCACCTCCCTCTCCGTTGGCCTCCTTCTGTTTCTGGAGCTGCTCCTTCTGCAGGCTGCGCTGCTTCTTGCGGAACTTGGCCCTGCGGTTCTTGAACCACACCTGTTTAAAATGTGCAAGGTTGGGAGACGGTTAGAAGCATGCTCCCTGATAATTATAAAAATATGTTTGAGAAAGGCTAATTCTGTGTGTATGTGTGTTTTACTATTTGTCTTATGAAAACTTGTAAAAAATAATTGGCCTGAGTCATTTTTTTGACATTTTTTGCCCAATGTTAAAGATGTGTAGATCCTGTAGCACTAACTCCAAAAAGTTTTGGGACACTGTAAAGTCCATGGAGAATAAGAGCACCTCCTCCTAGCTGCCCACTGCACTGAGCTAGGAAACACTATCACCACCGATAAATCTACAATAATCGAGAATTTCAATAATCATTTGGCTACCACTACCCCGGCCACCAGCTCTGCACCCTCCGCTGCAACTTGCCCATGCCCCCCCCCGCTTCTCCTTCACACAAATTCAGACAGCTGATGTTCTGAAAGAGCTGCAAAATCTGGACCCCTACAAATCATCTGGGTTAGACAATCTGGACCCTTTCTTTCTAAAACTAGCTGCCGAAATTGTCGCAACCCCTATTACTAGCCTGTTCAACCTCTCTTTCGTAACGTCTGATATCCCCAGAGATTGGAAAGCTGCCGCGGTCATCCCCCTCTTCAAAGGGGGTGACACTCTAGATCCAAACTGCTACAGACCTATATCCATCCTGCCCTGCCTTTCGAAAGTTTTTGAAAGCCAAGTTAACAAACAGATCACCGACCATTTCGAATCCCAGCGTACCTTCTCCGCTATGCAATCCGGTTTCCGAGCTGGTCATGGGTGCACCTCAGCTACGCTCAAGGTCCTAAACGATATTATAACCGCGATCGATAATAGACAGTACTGTGCAGCCGTCTTCATCGACCTGGCCAAGGCTTTCGACTCTGTCAACCACCGCATTCTTATTGGCAGACTAAATAGCCTTGGTTTCTCAAATGACTGCCTCGCCTAGTTCACCAACTACTTCTCAGATAGAGTTCAATGTGTCAAATCGGAGGGCCTGTTGTCTGGACCTATGGCAGTCTCTATGGGGGTGCCACAGGGTTCAATTCTTGGGCCGACTCTTTTCTCTGTGTATATCAATGATGTCGCTCTTGCTGCTGGTGACTCTCAGATCCACCTCTACGCAGACGACACCATTTTGTATACATCTGGCCCTTCATTGGACACTGTGTTAACAAACCTCCAAACAAGCTTCAATGCCATACAACACTCCTTCAGTAGCCTCCAACTGCTCTTAAACACTAGTAAAACTAAATGCATGCTCTTCAATCGAACGCTGCTGGCACCCGCCCACCCGACTAGAATCACTACTCTCGACGGGTCTGACCTAGAGTATGTGGACAACTACAAATACCTAGGTTTCTGGTTAGACTGTAAACTCTCCTTCCAGACTCACATTAAGAATCTCCAATCCAAAGTTAAATCTAGAATCGGCTTCCTATTTCGCAAAACAAAGCCTCCTTCACTCATGCTGCCAAACATGCCCTCGTAAAAACGGACTATCCTACAGATCCTTGACTTCGGCGATGTCATTTACAAAATAGCCTCCAACACTCTACTCAGCAAATTGGATGTAGTCTATCACAGTGCCATCCGTTTTGTCACCAAAGCCCCTTATACTACCCACCACTGTGACCTGTATGCTCTTGTTGGCTGGTCCTCACTACATATTGCGACTGTAAGTCGCTTTGGATAAAAGCGTCTGCTAAATGGCATATTATTATTATTATTATTATTATTATATTCGTCGCCAAACCCACTGGCTCCAGGCCATCTATAAATCACTGCTAGGTAAATCCCTGCCTTATCTTAGCTCATTGGTCACCATAGCAACACCCACCCGTAGTCTGCGCTCCAGCAGGTATATCTCACTGGTCATCCCCAAAGCCAACACCTCCTTTGGCCGCCATTCCTTCCAGTTCTCTGCTTGCCAATGACTGGAACGAATTGCAAAAATCTCTGAAGCTGGAGACTCTTATCTCCCTCACTAACTTTAAGCATCAGTTGTCAGAGCAGCTTACCGATCACTGCACCTGTACACAGCCATTCTGAAATTAGCCCATTCAACTACCTCATCCCCATATTGTTATTTATTTTGCTCATTTGCACCCCAGTATCTCTATTTGCACATCATCTCTTGCACATCTATCATTCCAGTGTTAATAATAATTGTAATTATTTTGCACTATAGCCTATTTATTGCCTTACCTCCATAACATAGTACATTTGCACACACTGTATATATATTTTCTGTTTTATTTTTGACTTTATGTTTTGTTTTACCCCATATGTAACTCTGTGTTGTTGTTTTTATCGCACTGCTTTGCTTTATCTTGGCCAGGTCGCAGTTGTAAATGAGAACTTGTTCTCAACTGGCTTACCTGGTTAAATAAAGGTGAAATAAAAAAATAAAAAAATAAAAATGTGTCATGAATTATGATTGATCAGATACAATTCATCAATATGTGCCATATCAACCAATAGTATTATGTGTATGTCAGACTATGGTACTATGTATTCTGAATGTTAATTCTGTAGTGACTTTGCCTTCCATACCTGCACACGGGCCTCGGGGAGGTTAGTGCACATGGCAAGGCGCTCGCGCATCACCACGTCGGGGTAGTGGGTCTTCTGGAAAGTCTTCTCCAAGGCCTCAAGCTGCTGTGCCGTGAACGCGGTGCGGCTCCGGCGCTGTTTGCGATGCTGGGACCCGTAGCGAGCCTCCAGGATGATGTCTTGAAATGTGCAGCCGTTGGAAGAGAAGAGACTCGGCAAGTTTAATTAATTAGACACGGGAATATGTCCGAAAGTTATAATGAATTGAAAGGTGTGTATGTGTGTAAAGGTTTGTTTGTTGGACTCAATTACCAGCAAGTCTCTCAGCTAGGGTGAGCGCGTGCACTGAAGGTCGGTAGTCTGGCGCGTGCTGCGCCTGTTGCGCGGCCTGCTGGTGCAGGTTATACATGGCGCTCAGGGAGTTCATCGCGTGGAGAGAGTAGCCGTTCACTCCATAGTGCTGCATGACGGACACTACCTGTGGGAACACACACATATAAATCATGTTAGTATTTGCTTGCATGTTTTTATTTGTCTATCTCTAAGGGGAGTTGTCCGGGCTGTTCATAGGCTATTTTTTGCGTGTGTTAACCTGCCCATTTTGGATACGCGTGTAATGAACGGTCTAAATTCACTGTTGGCTAAAATTATCAAATCAAAATCAAAAGTTATTTGTCACATGTATTGGGCCGTACGCACTACCCTCTGTAGTGCCTTGCGGTCGGAGGCCGAGCAGTTGCCATACCAGGCAGTGATGCAACTAGTCAGGATGCTCTCGATGGTGCAGCTGTAGAACTTTTTGAGGATCTGAAGACCCATGCCAAATCTTTTCAGTCTCCTGAGGGGGAATAGGCTTTGTCGTGCCCTCTTCACGACTGTCATGGTGTGTTTGGGGTATCTGACGCGTTCTGATATTTTCGATGTTGTGTGTAGGTAGGGCCTAGAGTAGACAGTGGGGCACGTTCAATTTATGCATACTGTATTTCATCATTTGATCACCTTATGAAAAGTTGCAGACCTTTCGTGTGATCTGTAGGTTGGTTGATCCTTGATAAACCATGGCTTCATTTGTTCATGTTAAAATGTCAAAGTCGTGTGGCGCTTGTAATAGACTAGGCCCATTCATCTTGTATATCCCTTGAAAGTTTATCTCCTTGGTGGTCATTTGAATCGGATATAGACGCATTTCCTTTCGCCACGGCAGACTGGAGTCAGACAAAAACGTTATCCATTAACATCCAATTATCGCTTGGTTCAAGCCATTAATTGTACAAAAGGCTTTTAATTGGGGTAATTATCACTCGTTCACTTAATGAAGCGTGACGGATGCCTTATAAATAAATTTAATCACTTCATTTCCCTGTGATCGCAGCAAAAGTGCAAATCCCTTTTGAAAGCGCTGCATGCTTTGAGAGATCATTGCGTTTATTAAATGCTTTCGAAATGATATACAGATATAGGATCTTAATTTAATCACCCTGTTGCAAGATAACTGTCATGCAATGCATGACATTTTAAACTTGTAGTGTATTTGAGGATTAAAAAGGCTTTTGAAGTTTGTAATTTCCACTTTGAAATTTCAGACTTGATTTTCCCTTACTAATGTATCAACCCTGACAAAAATGTCCATTAATTATAATCACACAATTCACATTTACTGTTGCTGCAGGATTATATTCCTGCTGTAGCAAACTGACTGAAATTAAGATCCTTCATCTGTAAAACGATTTGTTCCGGGCCAGAATGGTAACCTGAAATCACAGAGGATTATATTGAACAGTTATGATAGGCTATTGAAATTGAAATACCTTATGTCAATACGTTTGCTTTAGAATTATGTCCTTTGGTTAGCCTATGAATTTTAGCAGTCACTCTATTCCATTTTAACTACTATTTGTTGGACAATGTTGGTTTATATTAAGTTACCATAAGTCTAATCAAAATACCCAAATTATAGCCTTGAGTTTATTGGACAGAATAACTTTACAACAAGGAATCAAAGCCTTATATGTAGGTCTCCGAGGGCAACTATCTCATCCTCCATTTTTGTAGGTCCTTCGCCGCTTTAAATGAACTGCTTCAGGACACGATTAGATATGTATTAGTATCGAGGTCGTTGACAAGAAGGGATATCTTGGCGGCTCGAGCAGTTATGACTATTACAGAGAGGTCCAAGAAATAAGAAATGAATCTTCCTATGCATGGCAGGTATCTGGGGACTTGGAAGCTAGAGAGCGATCCTAGTCTTAAATTGCCTCACTATAGCATTTTGACATGCTAGGCCTGGGAGGTAGCCTATAATGCTTTTTCTTCACCGGTGTCTGTGCTCCTTTAGGCCTATTTTCATTGGCCCACTCAGCATCTTCGATACAGAAAGTTCACCATGGGTTACTGGGGACAAAATGTTTCTAAGATGAATGTTTTGAATTAAGTTAAACCAAAAATGTATATGTCCATGTGTAATTCGGCTGACTGAAAATGTAGGTATTCAAGTCATTCAAAAAGGTCGTCGTTTTTCGAAATGTCATGGTGCTCATGGCTATTTCTATTTTTATATATCTGACATTTTACATAAGAACATTATACAATATAATTAACTGCCTCAAGTCTTGCCCAAGGCTAAAGATGCTGTTATAATTCAAATTCAGTCACGAATTTAATTTATCCACACACAATTCAATTCTGAAAACAGTGATGCTGCACTTCATGCAGTCTGTGATAATGATCAAATTGATGTATTTAATTGAATATTAAATGTAATTGCTAACACGTTTGACAAGTAAGCCTTTATTTGAAGTTAATTCACATCACAACAGTTAATCCAATATTACTTAATCCGTTGATCATGTTAATTTATGATACAGTAAGACCTTAATTGATAGGCTATAGTTGTAACCTGCACACCAATTGAATAGGCCTGGTAATAAACTATTATTATTTGTTGTTTTTGTTGTTATTATTATTAGTGATGATTATATTACTATGATTATTTTATAATGTTATACCCTAATTGTAGTATGAATAATATTGATAATTGTGTTATTACAAAATGAGTTCAAATAGAGATCTCTATTGGGCCATGAAAATTGTTTTACTAACTAATAAAATAAAATAATTGAAATCAAACACTCCATCCAAATAAGTACGAACTTGCCTTTTTTCCCCTTGCATTATGAAACGTTTTTGCAACCACTAATAATTTGAGCAATAAAGTCAGATTTAGCACCATGAAGCTGATATCCATTTCGCAGCCGTCTGTGTGTGCAAATGGCAGCTGTGGGTGTGGGTGTGTAAATGATGCCCGCAGTGCCCATTCCCAACCTATTAAGTCACAGTGCCTGATGAATGTGATCACAGGGCAAGAGGGAATAGTTTAATTCGCCTGGACAGAAGGTGCTTCGCTAAACATTTACTTTGCTCCCCCAAGTATTTGAGTTGAATGGGTCCCGCTTTCCTCCTTCCCCTCTCTCGCGGCCTCTTATCCCATCGCCCCGGGGTAACGTTTTGGCTGAGATGTATGGCTTCTCCGCGGGTAAAATATGCATGTTGATCTCCATTTGGCTCCCCGTCTAATGGAAGTGCAAATAGGTTTCGACTGCGAGGCCCTCCATTCATCATCAACCGGACGGACGTACAGTGCGGTTCATCCGCGTGCATGTGTGTGCGTTCGTGCGTGCGTGCGTTCGTGCGTGCGTGGAGAGAGATAGGAGAACTAGGGATAGGCTTCTACTGTTATTTTTACATTTACGCTTCTCATGTGTTTCCTTCTTTTTGATATTGATAACAAGCATTGCGCATGTATGATAGGCCTACCATATTTACCACACAAACCTGCTTATTCTGTCTAGCTGCCATTGTTGTCTATTCATACGCCTATCCTTGCTCCAGGCTGTATGTTTGAGTGCCACAGGCAGCACTGCTCAATGCTTCGATTATTAAAACGTAATTATGTAAATTGCCATGTACAGTGCAACTCTATGATCTGACTAAATTAGAAAAAAATGTTATACTAAAAACCCTTGGGCCCTATGCGGCTCGTGTATGGCAAGCGACAATCTGCCCATGGTGTCAGACATATTTTGTATTCCAGACTGTCAAAGGCCGCGAGACAAGTGTTTGATTAGCGAATTTCCCGTGAAGAGGAGGCCACACGGGTTAACAACAGCCTAAACCAAACTATTATTCGTTAATTTACGATTAAACCATCATTTAATTGCAATTTCATATTGACACAATTGCATGGGCTTATTCCATCTGAACTGAGGGTGGAAAATACTTTGTTTGAATGTTAAGAATTATGAAAGAGAAATGATAGGTCTACACTCTTAGAAAAAAAGGTTCTGATAGAACCAAAAAGGGTTCTATGCTTGCTTCATATATGGCACCCCTTAAGGTTCTATATAGAACCGAAATTGGTTCCATATAGAACCCTATATGGAACCAATTTGGTTCAGTGAAGAAGAACTCCTGCGGTTCTGATCAAAGAACCCTACAAAAGTGTTCAATGTAGAACCTTTAGGGGTGCCACATATGAAGCAAGCAATATAACCTATTTTTTGTTCTATCCAGAACCTTTTTTTTCTAAGTGAGGATGTGGCTGTTATGGCTATAAAAATAGCAATAGAAGGCCATGAAAGCCTCATACACTCAATAAGTTCTTGCCTCATAATTCCTAACTGGAAATCGCTGAAGTGCTTCCACAAAACACTGTATATCTACATATTAATTTGTATTATTATTTTTTTAGATAAAAAAATTCCAAGATCTCCCATTCATTTTTGCATGACCTCACATTCCCATGAAATAGCCTAGCCAATTGTGGTAAAAAAGTATCTTCGAAATGTTTTGGATTGTTTTACTGCATCACATTTAAATTCAACAAAGATGTACATGAATCTGTACGAATTCAATATAGTTCTACTTTATTCCTTATGTCGAGTCTTGCCGCATCTGCGCCCAAAGTATAATTACTATAGCTGTAAATGCTCGCTCGATATTGGCACAACGACGACTTCTTGTAAAACATAATATCGTGCAATTAAGATAAGGTATATTATATGCATAGAGTGTGCACCAATACATAATTTTTGTCACCATATTTGTATCAACACTGTTGTTTCCAGCAATGTATTAACATGTTACAAGTTTGACACAGTCCCAGAGATGTCCAAAAAGTTCTTACCTCTCGCCAACACAGCCGAGTTGTCTTTGGATGTTGTGATGCTAAAGTGTATCCCGATTCTAAAGTGATTTCTTAGGATTTCTTATTATAGCTATGTCTCCTTGTTTATAATGTCCACCTTTCTCGTTCTCTTCATGCGATTTGGAAGGAACGATTGCAAGTCCACAGTTTCGTCTTGTGTAAAAACGCGCGCTCTGATACTTTCCGCGTGACTGAATCGTCTGCGTCTCTTGCTCAACATAGGAAGCTGCCATCTACCCGGCCACGAGCTGAAGAGGGATTTTAAAGCGTGCTCTGTGAGGTCATGTAAGATTTCTAGTGGTCCTTGAAGCTGTCAATCAAAGAAAGAGACTATTTCTCCCCCACTAGTAGCAGAGTTTTGGCCAATGTCCCTATACAATTCCAAATCATAAACTTTAGAATATAATGTCTGCAGATTCCCATATGTCAGTCTACATGTATTTGTTTTGCATTTGTGTTTGAATTGATAAACATTCAGTAAATGTATGGATTAAGAAGAGTACCAACTCCTTTTAATTCTGGAAAACAAGTGTACAAAATAAGTACGCCTATAAGATGTTTGTAATAGATCATTAATATTCTATTTGATATTTTTCTTGCCTTTGAGGGATATTTGATGTCAGTGAATACATACATTGTGTTGATATTGTGTAGCCCTTAATTGGTAGATGGATAACATTTCCAGAATTTTAACGCTGTTAAATTATATTTAAACTTAGATAAAACAAGATTGAATACTTATTTTCTAATATTTTAGATACTTTTATAATAATTAATTATATTGATTTATAAATGGAAAATTGGGCATCTTTTATTTCAATGTAGTAGCCTACAAAGTTGTTGTTTCCAATTACCAG